AAATAATGGTCCTCCTTTATGGGGGAAGGTCGTTCTCCTCCACCTCTCTTGCAGATTCAGGAAGGATACACATAGAACAGTCAGGAAGAAAAGGGGTACTTACTTGGCCAGCCAGATTCTGCAGCAATGCTGGCAATCAATGGAGTGGCAGATGCCACAGTTAGATCACCCTCATGTGCCGTCACCCCAGCCAGGTCACTCCATCTTGATGAAGAATGGAGTGTCCCCACCTAGAGGCCACCACACTGTTCAGGAGCTGAGTGATGCTACCACCCAGTGTGGGAGGCTGGAGAAGCCCATAGGGAATTTGAGGCTCTCAGAGGAGAGGTTGGGGCTTCCAGACAAGCTGTTGCGGAGGGCTAAGGGTCTTACAGCTGAACTTCCAGGCGTCTGACTCTGGAACCAGTCAGTTCCAGAAGGCACGGGTGCTCAGGCTGCCTTTTGGTTCTGCAGTGATGGTAGTGGGGCAGCTCCAGGATGAGCCAGCCTGATAGACAAGGCTCTTCCCTCTCGGTTGTTGTGTAGGTAGGTGATGTATCTTTGCCTGTAGTTGGAGCAGCAGGCATGCAGCTATGATGGGTGAGTAGGCTGAGGGTGGGTGTGGAAAGCAGCTTCCTAGAATAGCTCCGAGCTGTGGTGTTTATTCCCAAAGAAAAGACCTTTACACCACGCAGGATTGAACAAGCTGCAGTGCTCCGTGAGGCTCTTGGAATGGTTTCTGGCTCGTTGAGTGGCAGAAGGATAGTGGCTGCCACCTTGGGGTCCGGGGCTGATAGAAAGGCAGAAACAGTGAACTGTCCAGGGGACCCTGTGTTTCTTTCTTTTCTTTTTTTCTTTTTTTTTTTTTTTTTGGTTTTTCGAGACAAGGTTTCTCTGTATTGTTTTGGAGGCTGTCGGTCCAGCCTGGCCTCGAACTCACAGAGATCCGCCTGCCTCTGCCTCCCGAGTGCTGGGATTAAAGGCGTGCGCCACCACTGCCCGGCGGACCCTGTGTTTCAATTGGACACTCTCCTACGTATAGGTAGACAGATGAGCTCTTGACCCAGATGTAAGTCAGACCTTTCCCAGGGTTAAAATACTGGGATTCAATTCCAGCTCCACCCTGTGTGGCTGTGGTGAGTGCCTGTCTTCTTCCAGCCATAGTGGGATTGTGGGTAACAACAACAGCATGTAAACTCATCCTGATGACAGTCACAGTAGATGGTGGCCCACGGTGACAGCTCAGTGCCAGTCGTGATTATGTTCCAGCTGGGGTGTGTGCATTTGCCTTCTCCTGTCACCTATAATACTCTCCCCCTTCTTCTGCCTTCCTGTTACTGTGGATTAGACCTAGAGCCTTGGACACATCAGGGAAGTTCTCTGTCATTAGTGTCCAGTACTTTTAAACAACAACAACAAAAATTCTTCTTTTGCTTGTTTTGAGACATGCTTTTACTAAGTTTGGATGAAACTTAGTTTCGATGAAAACATCATGTTGCAATTATTTATTTCAAACCATTTTACTGGAAAATACCACTAATATTTTATTTTTTCAAAGCATTCTAAACTACACAGTTATCTTCTCTTCATAGATATATTAATTGCTTTTATTATTAAATTTTAAAACCAGGGGGTTTTTGACCTTGATCCAAGAGTGTGAAGATGTCTTTGTATGTGTAAAAACATGGGTTGCTTAGTTGGATCTGGACTTGCTCTGTTGCTCAGGTTGGACTTGAACTTATGATATTCTTGCCTCAGCCTCTCAAGCAGCTGAAATAACAGACATGCACCATGAGCTCAGCCCTTTCTGCTCCCTGAATGTTGTCTAAAAGACAGGGTCTTGTTATGTAGCCCAGCCTGGCTTAGGACTCTGGTTGTCCCAGCCTTCTGAGTGCTGGGATAGCACCTCCTTGAGCGGAGAAGTGGTGTTCGCCTACTTCTGAAAAGACAGTGAGCCCAACTTCTGTACCGTCTATATCTGACCTCTGCTACCTTCCCTTCCTTGATCCTCAGATCCCACCCTGGGTGGGAAAATGACAAGGTCTGCCCTGCAGTGATGGGGGATGTCCTTCTGTATGCTGTGAATATAAGTTTCTCTTATTGGTGATGAATAAATGCTGATTGGCCTGTGGCCAGGCAGGAAGTATAGGTGAGGCTACCAGATGAGTATTCTGGAAAGAGGAATGCAACAAGTGAGTCTCAGGGGAGACACCATGTAGCTACCGGGAAGATAGTTTGCCTGGGCATTCTCCAGTAAGCCAAGACTATGTGGAGATACTTAGAATAGAAATGGGTTAATAACTAAGAGATAGCTAGCCAATAAGAAGCCCTAGACATCAGCCAACAGTTTATAATTAATATAAGCCTCTATGTGTTTATTTGGGACTGAATGACTGCAGGACCAGGTGGGACAGAAACTCCGTCTACACTGCGGGGGGGGGGGGCTCCTGTGGGATGAGTGTACTCACTGTACCAGCCCTTCCATTTGGTCCTAGGTGAGTACTCCGAAGTATTATCAGTGGGGGCTCAGTCCAGGGAGGACCTGCTGATGCCTCTCCTCGGCTGTCACTCAACAAGTGACTCTTAGCAGAACATCTCTCTTTGATAAAGTCCGGTTTGCTTCTCCTCCTGAAGCTGTGTGATGTAGGAGAACCAACAGGAATAGACTGGGTGTCCAAGTGGCCCTGTGGTCAGGATCTGAGGGAGTTCTTATGAGGCAGAACTTGCAGTGATAGTCAGGACAGTCGTGATCAGAAAATCACCCATGACTCCCATTGCCCACATCACCCAGCCCAGGGCCAGAGCTAAGGTGTTGTTCCTAGAGGATACCGACATGGAGGTGTGGCCTGTCCCCTCTGATTTTTGTTAATGTTTTCTTTCCCTTGGTTCTTCTGAAACCTGCAGCTTACAGCCTGAAATTCTACTCCCAATATGCTAGGGTGCTTTCCAAGAGGGTGCAATGTGTTGACCCAGGTGCTAGAAGGAAGTGTCCCTGCTCACAGCTCATCTCCCTCAAATCACAGGCAATCAAACTGATTTCTGGAGAGGCTGATGTTGATGGGACCCATGGTCACATGCTGCTCAGGCCCAGAGGTAATGTTAGCACCTGATTGTAAGTAACACTGCTCTTCTATGACCTACGTGGCCTTGGGGCAAGATGCCTTACTTCTGTGGCGGTCCAGGATTAACGGTGAATCAGGTAGAAGATGAGATGATCCATGATCATCTTTTTGTGCCCAGCAGGACAGCAGCATTGACCTTGCTGCCCTAGGCCCATGGGTGGAAGGTAGGAAGAGGGCAGAGGCCTTTCCCCAAGAATGTCTCACCATGGCTAAAGGTATTTAAGCTTACCTAGTCTGTTTGCTCTTGAGTAAAATAAGGGTAATTAGACTACAGTCCATGCACCCTATCTGTGACTCCAGAGACACCACCAAATGTTGACTGAAACGCTTGCAAAAAGTTGAGTCTGTACTAAATGCGGGTGACTTTTTCCTTGTCATTATTCTCTGTACAATGCAGATACAAACTGCCCACATAGCACTGGCATTGCATTAGGTACCATAAGGAGTCTAGAGGTAGCTGAAGTATGTGAGGAGATATGCATACATTGCAAACAAATGGGGGCTTGAACACCTTTAGTCTTTGGTACTAGGGGAGGAGGTCCCAGAGACTGAGTCACAATTGGACACTTTGTAGAGTTACTTACATCATTCTTTAAGGCTAAGTATTGGGCTCCTGAGGCAGTTCTTCACGTGAGCCTGTAAAATTGGTCCCATTACTTTATATCCACAGCTCATTGCTCACTTTAATCCATTCAGCAAATATCTGTTGAGTGCTTACTGTGTCGAGTACTGAGCAAGACCTTGGAGATTCAGTGATGTAAGATGCCCAGGACCCAGAATGAAGGGTGTACTGAAGCTCAAAGAGCTGATTGGGCAGGCCATTTCTCTCTCTCTCCCTCCCTTCCTCCCTCCCTCTCTCCCTCTCTCCCTGCCTCCCTCCCTCCCTTCCTCCCTATCTCTCTTATCCCTCCCTCCCTCCCTAACTCCTCCCTCCATCCCTAACTCCTCCCTCCCTCTCTCTTCTTTACCTCCCTCCCTCTCTCTCTGCCTCCCTCCCTCCATCTCATCCCTCTTTTCTTCTCTCTTCCCCCTTTCCTTTCTTCCTTCCTTGTCAACAAGAACAGTTTAACAAGAATTGCTGGGCCTCTAACCAGTGCAATCCATCTTTCCTCATTACTAACAGGTCCTCGAATCATTGGAGGTGGCAAGATGAGCATTAAGATATTGTTTGCAGCTACCCTGCAGGGGCGTATGTGCTGTGAAATGGAACTGGCAGCCATAGTTCAGCTAACAGTATGAGGCTCAGTTCCTAACAGTCGAGTCTAGGTTTCTCTAAGAAGATACAGAGCATAAGGCAGAAACAGGTTTAACCATCTCCCCTAAACCCCAAGAACTGAAGTTATGGAAACATATCAAATAACTGAGTATTAAAACATAAGACTGCCTTAGCTTTTCTCAACACAGACCATGAGTAGCTGACAAACCTGCTTTCTTTCCTAAGATCTCATTAAAGAGCTGAGGTTGAAAGACCCCTAAATCCCAAGGCTTGGAAACAGGAGATTAAATACACAATTAAGAATTTTATTTCAGCTCTTTTGGTGTGGAATGGCATGACTTATTTTTTTCCCTCTTAGCAGAGGCATCTCAAGTTACCAAAACCTTATTTGGAAGGCCAGAGGGTTTGAGCCAATCTACATGTCTTCATTATGGTTGTACATTTAATAATATCAACCAAATTAGAATTTTTAAATCCACCAATCACACACTTTCATTCATCCTAAGAAGAGATAAAAGTAGTTTGCATTTATCAAATACTTACTCTGCCAGTCATCCTGACACAGATTTTTAGCCTGCTATCTTAACTACTTTTCTATTGCTGTGACAAGACACCATGACTAAGGCAACTTACAACAGAAAGAATGTATTTGGGTCTTACAGTTTCAGAGGGTTAGAGTCTATGACCATCAAGGCAGGGAGCATGGCAGCAGGCAGGCAGGGATGGCTCTGGAACAGTGGTTGAGAGCTTATATCTTGAGTCATAAGCATGAAGCAGAGAGAGCTAACTGGGATTGATGTGATACATCCCCCAATGGCACACCTCCTAATCCTTCCCAAACAATTCCACCAACTGGGTACCACATTTTCAAACATATGAACCTGTGGGGGCCATTCTCTAAATTTAGTCATTTCAGTATCCCAATGAGGCAGGGACTATTCTTTTGCTTTGCTTGTTTTGATTTGGTTTTTCAAGACAGGGTTTCTCTGTGTGTTGTTCTGGCTGTCCTAGAACTCACTCTGGCCTCCAACTCACAGAGATCCACCAGCCGCCACCACCAGAGTGCTGGGATTAAAGGCGTGTGCACCAATGCTGGCAAAAGGAGCTATTCTTATTGTTATTTTTCAGGTAAGGAAACTGAAGCAGAGGGACTTTAAGAAGCCTAACCTAAGATCTTGACTAAGAAATGATCTTGGGACATGGATTTGGGTAGCCTTAAAGTAAGCTATCCTGGGACTGGGGAGAAGACTTACTTGGTAAAGTATTATGCAAACATGAAGGTCTGCATTCCCATCTCCAACACTCACACCAAAGCTGGGCCCAGTGGCGAGTGCCTGTAATCTAGCACTCACGAGGCAGAAACAGGCAGATCACTAGAATTTGCCGGCTAGCTGGCCTAGCTCAATCAGTGAATTCTTGGTTCAGTGAGAGACTCTTGCTCAAAAATCAGGGGAAGAGGGACTGAGGAAAACACCTGATATCAACCCCTGGTTTACAGACACCCATACACACACACACACACACACACACACACACACACACACACACACACACACCGTATCCTTATACAAATGTGTACTTACACACGTGGTATACAGTGAACATATACACACATGTACATACTCATACATGCAAAGTAAGCTATCTTGTCCTACAGGAGGTGAACGCCTTTAGACAAAGCTATTTACTGATGAAAGCAATCTTGTGCTCATTTTCAAAAAGGAGACATGTTTATCGGAAGCTTTGCTTAACTCTTCCCAGAGGTGTGCTGAATAATCCAAGAACTTGGCAATGTCTAGAAAGGTCCTCATCTTAACAGGAAGTGGGAAGGATGCCCTTGAGTTGAAGGCTGCTGCCTGCTACAGTTTAGATCAGGACTGTTTGCAGACCTGTGTCTTAAGGGCTTGTTCCTCAGTTCATGCGGCCATTGAAATGTGGAAGAGCCTTTAAGATCTGGGGCCTGGTTGGAAATTAGGTCATGGGAGGCCTGACCTTAGAGGGGACACTGGGACTCTGGTCCCTTCCTGTCTGTCTTTGCTTCCCGACCGGTGAGGGCTTTCTCCAGAATGCCATGTACCCTGGTGTTCCTGGAAGCCTCAGGCTCAGGGAGCAAGGCCATGGGATTATGGACTGAAACTCTGAACATTGTGAGTTTAAATAAGCCTTTCGTCTTTATAAATTGTTTTTCTCAGGTGGGTTTTTTTTTTTTTTGCTTTGTTTTGTTTTGTTTTTGTCACCGCATTGAAAAGCTGTCTGACATAGAACCCATCATGTTCAATAGTTCTCTGACGATGCCAGTCGAAACATCTGGATTTTATACTTGTTCAATAGTAGGAGACGAGGGTGGTGTGCAGACTGAAAACAAGCTGGTGCATGTCTGTCCTCTCAGCAGGAAGTGTAAACACTGCTGCCTCTTTAAAAGATGGAAGAACCACGACCCGGAGAGATGAAGAGATTATAAAAGAGAGGGCTGGCAGCCTCTGGAGACAATGAGTCAGCTCAGGCAGCCTCCATTTTAATGACTGCCTTGGTTATTCTGGTGAAGTCATAGCTGCTCTGCTGTCTTGGAGACAGTAAGTGGCACATCTAGATCCCACACTTGGGCAGTAGTCAACAGTCACAGGCTGTTCACACTCTGTGGTCTATAACTACCTATGGAGTCTGGTGCTGTCATTGCATGCATGCTTAGCCGTGGCTGTTCCTGCAACGGAAGCTCCTGCTCAGTGTTGTCCTGCTATCCTCAAGCTGACCCCCTGGCTCCACAGAAATTGAATGGGAGGATGGGAGGAATGTCCCCATGCTACAGGCAGCAGGGGTGAGGCACAGAGGGAGAGCTGAAATGCCCTGAATTTGCTGATTCCCAGGGGAGCCCTGGCTTTGGTGTGGCTTTTCTAGGTTGGCCCACTTTGAGACAAAGGACTAACATCCATTACTCAACAGATGCGGGCTTGCTGCACTGTCTCTCTCAGGAGGATGATCTCAAAGCAGGGCAACTCCTGGAGAGGGACTCCTCTGGGAGCTGGGAGCCCCTACTGCCCTCAGCCACTGAATGGGTGAGCATTGAGATCCTAAGAGGAAGTGGGGGATGGGGGGAGCCCGAGAGCACACACAGCATTCATCGCAGAATGAAACTGTGAGGAAAGATGGCCCGGCTGTGACTTTCTCTAGAAGATGTCTGGGGCTGTCGACCTTGTATGCTGTGTTATGGAGAGACAGGTCTCTACAGAACTCTGCCTGGTGTTTTCACACTGGCATATTCTCCAAATGTTAGATTGTCCTGGGGAGAGAGGATCTGGGGTGAAAACTGGTTAATGAAGACCTGTAGCCTGGCACTGACAATTCTTACTTCCTAGTCAGGTCCGTCCCACTCTTGGGAGGAGATGCTGTGGCGGCAGCGTGGGCCTCTCAACATCTGAATGGACAGGGTGGGGATCTTTCACAGTGGTGTTAGTCAGTGTGTTGTAACAAGCAACTCAATGGGACACCCTGTGTACATCACTCACAGGTGACAACGAGCCCTTAGGTGGCTGCCTCAACAATGGTCCCTCTCAGAGGTATCCTCACTCCATTTTGCTTTCCTTATGGCACCACAGAGAGCGATAGGCTGGAGACTTTCTCAGACTCCTGTAGATGTCACCGAATCCTCAAGGCTGTGTGCCCACCCACAGGATGCACACCAGAGAGGTTGACAGTGGGGATGAGAGAGAAGCCACGCTTCTGAACCTTCAGCTAGCAGGCCCCTTCATGGCAGCCCCAGTCACAGGACCTCGGGGTTTGGGTTGGTGAGCGTCATTCTCCCAGGCAAGGATCACGGCAGAAGCAGAGGGAGCCATTACTGTCTTCATGACTTCCTCCCACAGAGGTCTCTGGAGTGCTATGGAAGAAGTGTTACCTTCTCTGCTTCTGTCACTGGGACCTTCCCGGAAGCTCAGCCTACAGTCTTCTTTTCCAGCCTGCCCGGAGGATGCTGCCAATGTCTGATTGTCTACACAAGTCCCCTTCTACGTAAAACAACCACAGCGGTTCTTGTTTCCCACAGTCAAGCCCAGATTCACTTATTCTATTATCATATTCATGAAGAGTGAATGACATTGGTTTATTTAAAGACATTTTTTTGGTGCCATCTCTGATCACAAGTATCCTTCCAGGTCTAGGGGGCAGCACAGTGTGTAGCGTTTAGTATAGTAATGCATTGTGAAGAGTTCAGTGTGGTGATATGCTATGCAGAATTCCGTGTGGTAACCAAGATGAATAAGGATAAGGAGCTGTAGGGGTCAGACTAAGAGAGGGGGACTCATGGAAGGTTCCTCAGAAGAATGTAGGCTTTATCTTCAGGAGAGAGGAAGTTTGCCAGGCAGACAATGTGGGTATCAAAGTCAGAAGCTTTTTCTTGCTTGTAAATGATAAAATAATAAACTAACCTGTTATTAGAGGCAAGCTGAAGGCGCGTGGCTCCCGGGCCTAAAGTCACCATGTAGCAACCATTGTGGGCCTATGATCTGGTTCTCCTGGTCCCCTGAGCATCCCTGGATGAAGTGTATGCAGTGGGGAAACTTGAGGAAGCCACTTCTATACCGTGAGCTTACCCTGTGTCCCCGAGGGGGGCATGGTCTCATCCATCATGGTTGCTCTCCTCAAGTGAGAAACGGTCCAACTCAAAGATGGTCAGAGTCTTGCCTTCTTGGTGAACTCTGCCAGCCACATACAAGAGACCCAAAGGCCTGGGGAGATGGCGTTCCAGGAGGAGAGGCGCCGTCTGCAGACTCTCCTGGAGTTTTCTGGAGAGTCTGTTGGCATCATGTGACCAAATGAGTTCAAAGTCAAATAGGCTCAACACTTATTAAACCAAGTTGGCAAGAGTTCTGTTAGTTTATCTATAACTGACGAACTTTGGGGAGTCTTTAACATACTAGGAAGCATGGTGAATGGGTACAGTATGTCATTCTGGGGGGGGGAACCAGAGCCATTTCTAGGGTAGTACTTTGGAAATTCTCTTGAATTCTGACAGTTGTGAGGACTAGGAGGAGGGCCCCGTGGAAGTTTTATTAGGACAAGAACTCCACTGTTCTTTGCTCAGTTGGCCGTCAACTGAGAGACAGACAGCATGTCAGCCAGAGGAAAGATACCTACTATATTTATTATTGACAGGGTCATGTAAGACATATGGCCTCAGAATCTCAGTGGGCCTCCTAATATTGTCACTTAGACTTGGGCACACCTAGTTACTTAGCCCCTTGTTCTGGGAGACCACAGGCATGCCTGATAGGCAGGAACAGGTGCTGTGTACCTCTTATAGGCTCAACCGATCATGGTGCCTCACTCTCCCATACTGACAAATCTGTTAAACTAGCAAGGCCCGTGCCGCTGTACCGAGAGTCTCAGCATGGCGACAGGAGTGAACTGTGCCCTCCCTGACACCTCACCAACACTGCATGGTGTTTCCACAGTGCTGGGTGGGTGCTGGGGACTGGGTTGGTCGCCCTCACAGAGCTGGCAGAAGGACAGGGTAACCCTCCCAGTTCGGAGTGGCCTGTGAATCTCTTGCTGCCCGTAGGGAACTGGGAGGGGATCAGGAAGAAAGGGTGGGGATTACTGGAAGTGCTCTGGTAAGACTGGGTGACTGGGCCCCTTTCACGGGAAAGGGCCCTGCCCACTGCAGGGAGAGGGCCATGAGCCTAAGATTGCTGAGCAGGAGGCACAGCAGTCCTGGCTCCTTGGCGTCTGGAAGCAGCTTCTGATCCAGGCCTCTCTCTCAAAGTGCTGCTGGGCGTCCTCGGTCAGTGCTGAAGGAGACTCACGGGCTAAAGGCCCGGCTTTCGCCACGCCTTGGGTGAAACACCTCCAAACCACATTAAAGTCGAACAGACATTCTAATGTTTTCTACTTAGTGTGTGTGAGAGAGAGACTGTGCATGCACACATGTATACTCACATGTGCCATGGTGTATGTGTGGAGATCATAGGATAAGATATGGGCGTTGGTTCCCTCTTCCATGTGGGTCCCAGGGATCAAACTCAAGCCTGACAGGGACTGCTTTCCCCCCTGAGTCATCTCACTGATCCTAAGCCACATTTCAGGTATCTCCAAAATAGGTGAGTAGCATCACGGCTTGGTAACACATCATTTCCTGGCTTCTTTCCTGCCCGGCTCATTGTCTTCTTCCGTCAGCATCCCTTTGGGTCACACGAGTCACCGTTTCAGGATCTCCTTCCACTAAACCCAAATGAAGACTCCTGTTATCCTCAGTGCCCACTCACCCATCATCTGTCCCCCCATCCTTCCCCGAACCCATCCATCCCTTACAAGCAACCATAGATTAGACAACTTATGAGGTGCTTGGATACAAGACAGACACATTACAGCCATCAAACTAGCTCTATTTAATAGTCCACATTCCCATTATTGTGGGCAAAAGATTCCCCAGAGCATCAGGTGCCTTGGCAGGATCAGAAATATCAGAGACCACACTTCATGGAGGCGTGGGAAGGGCTCTTGAACAGAGCCAGCCCTGCTGGGGCAAGCACTGGTGGCCACATGGTGAGTGTTCAGGAAAGGTTTCTGTGTGAAGGCTCACGTGGGCAGAGTGAACAGAAGCATAGCAAGCAGGTCAGGTTTTCTCTGCAATCAATGTCGCTTGCTTTTCTCCAACAAGACTGTAAGAATATAACTCAAAAACCAGGCAATCACCCAGGCCAGGAAGGATCGGCTCCTAAAATCAGAGTCACCGGGGCTCTAGATGAGGTCTGAGTAACATCTCAGATGTTGTTACTGGGTCTTTGTTCTCTCTCCTCCTGTTAGAGGGCCAAGGACCAGCCTGCCCCGTGTGTCTGTGTGTCCCTGGTGGCACTGTAGCCTTGCTGCCGGATCTGCTAGGACTGACTTCCTGGGGACTTTATCTACTGTCACCACTTAACTTCTCAATTTTTTATTATTTAGAAGCTGGAAGGATGGTTCAGCAGCTAGAGCTCTGGCTTTTCCTCCAAGGGACCCTTGGTTGTCCTGGAACTCTCTTGTAGACCAGGCTGGCCTTGAACTAACAGAGATCTACCTGCCTCTGTCTCCTGAGTGTTGGGATTAAAGGTGTGCACTGCCACACTGGGCTTGATTTTAATATATTTTACTTAACCTAATATGCTCAACACACGATAATTCTGACAAACAATTTAGAAAATATTACTGAGATATATTATATGCAAGCGTATATGTACCTGAATGTGCACATGTATATTTTATACAAAATATTTTTTCATATAAAGGGTGTTTAAAAATATAATACTTCTGGCTGGGCGGTGGTGGCGCATGCCTTTAATCCCAGCACTCGGGAGGCAGAGGCAGGTGGATCTCTGTGAGCTCGAGACCAAGCCTGGTCTACCGAGCGAGTTCCAGGACAGGCTCCAAAACAATACAGAGAAACCCTGAAACAAACAAACAAATATATATATATATATATATATATATATATATATATATATATATATCTCACTTCTGGATTGGGCTAACTGTATTTCAAATGCTCACTAGCCACATGGGGCTAGGGACAGTTGAACTAAATAACTTGCCCCCCTGACAGGCTCACACTGCCCACCATCTCGTCCCCAACACCTTCCTTCTTCAGAATGCTTGAGCATCCCTTGGATGCGGAAGAGATAACACCAGGTGTGATGGGAGCTGAGATGCAGGCCCTTGATTCTGGGTGGCTGGGAAGGTGCAGAACAGAGCTAGGAGAGAGTAGTTTGGGACCAGCCCTCCTGTATCTCGGTGCTCTGTGCAACCTGTGAATCATCCTGGGGGCAGAGAGGCAGACAAGGGAGTGCTCTCTATTCTGGAGCCTCGGTGAGCTCAGTCATGTGGGGGTGGGAGGGAGGGACCCACAGCAGAGCAATGGAAGGATGTGTCTACAGAAACAAAAATAGATCCGAATCTGTGGGGTGGTTACCAAGACTCAAAATACCAGCTCCCTGTGTGTGCTGGGGTGGGGGAGGATGAGGAAGATGCTCCGAGCCTCATGTTCTTATGATTAAATTATTCAAGCAGGAGGGTGAGGACCAGGGCTGAGCTGCAGGCCCGGGTCTCCTTTTCAGAGTGGTGCCTGTGGTCACCGTTCCACAGAGTTTTTCTTTCTCACCAGTTTCCCCTGGTTCCCCTGATTTGAATAGTGAGCAAATTTGCCTCTTGGACAGACTTCCACCTGCTTCTGAGATGGACAACCCCACTAGTGTGAGCCCCGGGCTGAGCGCTCTCCCGCTGGGGATGGCTCCAGAGCCCAGTCCTGGGGGAAGAGAGTTTTTCTTAGGAGAGGGCAGGCAACCAGCGAGGTCTCCTCAGGCTGTGTCCTTTTACCTTCTCAGCCTCTGCTACTTATAAACCTCTCCCAGTCTTAGCTTTTTCTTCCACCATGTGAGAATTATAATAACTCTTACCATATTAGGATGTTGGGAGGAGTCAGTAAAAAAAAAAAGTATTGTGCTTTGCACAATGGCTGGCACAGGGTATGGTGCCTACCACTCAATGGGAATGACCAGTTCTTCCCACGCTGGGCAGGGCTCCACAGTTCTGGGCCAAAAATCACCAGGTGGAACCTTCTCCATTGCCATAATGCTCTGCTTTAAATGGGACGTGTCACATGACAGATGTGGCCATGGCACCAGAGGGACATGATTACCCACAGCTGCTCAGGGTATTAATGGCATAGCTCAAGCCAAACCCAGATTTTCTAGTTCCCAGGCTTAAGTTAGTAGAATCTTTTGGGTCTCAGAACCAAAACCTTAAAATTCCCTAGGCATACAGAGGAAAGTGAGGCAGCCTACTATGAAGGCGGTAGGAAACTTTGATGGGCCGATATACAGTCACTAAAAATGCTCACAGAAAATGTGCTTGCAATCTGTGCCAAATGAAGAACCCCGGGAAAGGAAGCTGCCCACAATGTAATGCTGTCCATCAAAACATTCGCACATTCTCCGTCTCTCTCTGCGTGTGTGCCTGGCTGCTCTCGACTAGATGCCATGTTTGCTTATCTCTGCTGGAAAACGATTGTTTTCTGGAAGTGCTCATGTATTTTCCACAATGAACACTTGTTACTTTCACAGTCACAAAAACAAATGGAGATTATGAAAGATTTCCAGTCTCCATTTCACACCAGGGAGCCCGTCTCTCATTCTCTCCTCCCTCCGCCTTGCAGGACTCCCGGTGGCTTCAAAGCCTCCTTGTTTACACAAGGATAATTCTGTGGGTGTCCAGGGAGACGGACTGAGAGAGAACAAAGTGAGACATGTTTTCCTGAAGCTGATAATCAGAGTCAAGGCCCTCTTGTGACAGAGTCCTTCAATGAATTCAGCAGCTGCCTGTGCTTTGTCAAAGGAGGGGAAGCTAAAGGCAAAGGGACATGTTAGTCAGCTCTTTGCTGGGGACCATTGACTTTTT